TCCTCATCTTTTTCCCTTTTGTGTCATATTCTTTTTTAGATTTTCAAGCCAGCAGGCAAGGACTGTCCTGCATTGACTGTATGTAAGTTACCCTGGGAGCTTTTTTAAAAGGATAAAAAATACTCCAGATGAAAAATAATGAGGAAGAAGGATACTGTAGGCACAAACTCAGGGTCCAACCAGCCATGATGTCAATTTCGGGAACACAATGAGCACACATTTAACAACTTGTAAATATCCCACATGGCATAGTGGCAAGCAGCTTGGAGGCCGGAAGTAACAAGTTGCCATTCCTCTGGAAGGGAGCAGTCAGTCACAAAGAACCTTAAGCAGCATTAGCTTGCCTAGTTAGAAATCCAAGAGTCCTTTCCGGGAATATGTAGATGAACCAAATATTATTCGGCTTTCGTCTGTCATTAAACATAATAAATCAAGTTATCTCCATCATTTGCCAAAATATATGTTTAGCCCAGGTGTTCTGGTACTGCACATCCCAGAAGCCTTCTCCATCATCTGCGCTGATGCAGTCCAAGAACACCTGGATGACTCAAAGTTGGGAACCACTGATGTATAAGATGCAGAAAGTCCTGGAGTTTATTCCTGTTATTTCTAGCTGAAAGAATCTCTGCTAAGATTCTGCATAGTGGAAGTGGGTCAGGGGTAAGAACGACTGTCCCTTCAGAAGTGGATGGATCGTAACCCCCTCTTTTAACCTTGACACAAGGGTCTAAGCAAAATCAAGCTGAGAGGGAGTAAATGGTCCAATATTGCCCGCCTGGTGCCTTCCATTTGACTCGTATAAAATGCTGCTGTTTTATGTGCAATAATAATTCAGTTTTTCTCTGTGCATAGCAAATATTAACTATTAAACCAGGGAATGTGGAGCAATATTTTGACTACCCAGCTCATTGGGGAGGGGGGAAACAATGTGTAGCCTGTATAATTTAAAAAATTGTAAACCACACAGAGAGTGTGTTAAGGTCTAGGAGGTGGTATATAAGCAGCAATTTTTTTTGCTGTGGGCTCCCATAATTCCTCAGCATTGGATACACTAGTTAGAGATGATGAAAGATGCAGGAGAAAAGCATCTGTATAGGACTACGCATGTCCAGCCTTGATTTACGTGGACTGCAAGCATTTCATTGCAGAAACTGTCCAGCACCATGGACAGCAGCCATGGTCTGTCAATAGCAACCTCTCTTCTTGAGTTGCCTGCACATTGGCTGATCTAAAAGTATTATCTGTTTTTATTCTGCAGGCCTTTGATGCCAATGGGCCTCTCCCCTACAATACCACAGCCATCCAACCAGGTTGAGCAAACTGACAGACGCCTCCCTGCAAATTCAGTCGCTCCTGCCATTTTAGCTGTGCAGAAAGCACTTACTCTGCGGGTAAATGGATGGCTGAAGTTCTAGGAACACAGGAAGACGCCTTGTGCCAAAGCAGAACAGTGTTGCTGACTCTGGCTGGAAGCAGTTCTCCAGAGTTTCAGGCTAGCCCTACCAAGGAGATGCTAGGAATTGAAGAAGGGAGCTTCTGTAGCAAGAATAGCACGTACTCTACCGTTGACCTGCACCTCAATGGCGTTGGACTCAATGGCCCCTTCCAACTCAATTATTCTATGATCCTATGGGGGGCAGAGGAAAGAGGAGACACCACCAATCAGAGCTGTGTATGCCTGCCATTCCATACAGCATGGTCTACAGAACAATAGCCATCTTTCGGATGTCCATCTTTTGGAGACAACAAGACAACAAATAACAACAGTAAAGAAGAGCTACCTCAGGAAGGCCAATAGACTCCAACCACTGGTCACAAGTTACCTCTGGATGGCATAAGGCCAACTCTTAATGCCAGCCTTCGCAGGTTTGATATGGGAGAGAGGAAACTTATTATTACCAGCGTCTGGCAATGTTACTTTTAAGGGGACTGCAATTTCTAGAACGCCTACAGAATGTGATTTTGGGAGTCATAATTCCTGAAAAGTTAAAACTTCCAAGCTCTCTGAGCACCAAAGGATGAAATACATCACCAAGATTATTTTAAAGGAAAAAAGGGCAGTGATTAAAAAAAAACCTGCTTATTTCTGCCCTTCTTGCTATCTTTCTGTTTCTAACTCAAACACAAATGGAATGCACACAAACCATATAGGGAAGCAGCTATAGTTTTTCTACCTTGTTTTGGGGGATTTCTTTTGCTCCCAGTCTAAGCTAAGAGTTGCGTTGTGACCCAAGCTGAGGTCGTTAACACAACATATGGTACAGAATGGAGACGTGGAAAACTAAAACCGGAAATTGGGCAAGAAAGGAGGGGGAATACCCAAAGGATTCTGCTTCCCAAATGTCCTCGTCGTATGTCTGAACCCAGATGGGCTTCACATCTTGGGGAATGAATAATGCAAATGGCATTTCTCCATGGAAACTGGTCTGTGAGGCTGGCAGCTTCCTGTATGCCCCAGCGTTGCATATCTTTATTCCTCCTTCTGGTTGTGGGGCCATCTCTACCACCATTCAAGACCGTTGACCTGCACCTCAATGGCGTTGGACTCAATGGCCCCTTCCAACTCAATTATTCTATGATCCTATGGGGGGCAGAGGAAAGAGGAGACACCACCAATCAGAGCTGTGTATGCCTGCCATTCCATACAGCATGGTCTATAGAACAATAGCCATCTTTTAGATGTCCATCTTTTGGAGACAACAAGACAACAAATAACAACAGTAAAGAAGAGCTACCTCAGGAAGGCCAATAGACTCCAACCACTGGTCACAAGTTACCTCTGGATGGCATAAGGCCAACTCTTAATGCCAGCCTTCGCAGGTTTGATATGGGAGAGAGGAAACTTATTATTACCAGCGTCTGGCAATGTTACTTTTAAGGGGACTGCAATTTCTAGAACGCCTACAGAATGTGATTTTGGGAGTCATAATTCCTGAAAAGTTAAAACTTCCAAGCTCTCTGAGCACCAAAGGATGAAATACATCACCAAGATTATTTTAAAGGAAAAAAGGGCAGTGATTCAAATAAAAACTGCTTATTTCTACCCTTCTTGCTATCTTTCTGTTTCTAACTCAAACACAAATGGAATGCACACGAACCATATAGGGAAGCAGCTATAGTTTTTCTACCTTGTTTTGGGGGGTTTCTTTTGCTCCCAGTCTAAGCTAAGAGTTGCGTTGTGACCCAAGCTGAGGTCGTTAACACAACATATGGTACAGAATGGAGACGTGGAAAACTAAAACCGGAAATTGGGCAAGAAAGGAGGGGGAATACCCAAAGGATTCTGCTTCCCAAATGTCCTCGTCGTATGTCTGAACCCAGATGGGCTTCACATCTTGGGGAATGAATAATGCAAATGGCATTTCTCCATGGAAACTGGTCTGTGAGGCTGGCAGCTTCCTGTATGCCCCAGCGTTGCATATCTTTATTCCTCCTTCTGGTTGTGGGGCCATCTCTACCACCATTCAAGAGAGTGCAGCATCATGGAAGGCAGCTGATATAGGGTGTCATGAAAAGGCAGCCACTTGAGAGTTATTAATTTATTGGGGGGGATTTGCTCCCAAGGAAAAAGAGAAAAGCATTTGTGGGGTGTCCTGTTTGAGGAGCCTTGGTCTGTCTGAAGTACTGTCTCTCTGCAGAAGGCTAGCCCTGCCATTCAGCAGAACAAAGCTGCCTCGGGCAGTAAATGCTGGCAAGAGACAATATGTTGGCAGCAAAAGCTGAATGTCTTATGTGATTCACCTGAGGCTGGGAACTCCAGTTTTGTAGGGCTAATGAGTCTATTTGGGGATTTAATCCTAATTCCTGAGGAACCAGCTGCTGAATCCATTTTGGGTGTAGGTCTGGCACCTTGGATATTTCCTTTTGAAGTCTGGCCTATAGCTCTGAGCCGATTCACCACTCCCGTCAACATGAGGTCCCCAGACTTTACTGGTGCATCTTATTTGAACCTTGGAAGCTAAGTTGCAGCTGAGTCCCCCTCAGGGCTGGGCCCTAGAAGCGCACTTCCGGGACGCATCGCACCAATGAACAAAACACCATCATTTGACTTTCATTGGAAGATTATGACTTTGCATCCCAATTTGGAGGATAAAAAATGCAGAGTTAAAAATGAAAACATCTCCCCTGGGACAGTAATTCGATTCAGCGATCGTCTCTTGTCAGAGCAGTCTCCAGCTGCATGCCAGGAGAACAGCCGATCAGGGCATTATAGTGCATCCTTGTGTATGTGTGTGTGTGAGAGAGCGAGCGAGCAAGTGTGTGTGTGTGTTTGTAGCAACACTAGCAGTTCCAAAAAAGAAAGGAGGTTAGCTGAAGGTAACATAATTCTTGTTTTCTCTTGTTTTCAAGATGGGAATAGGGGTGGGGGAGAGTTTTTTCAATTTAAATGCTGCTTCTAGTTTTTATTCTTCCACCCATGGACACTTAATAGTTTCCCATGCCTATGAAATACAGAGTTCTCTCATGCTATGTAAAGGGCCCTCTCCTTTTTCTAGGTCCTTTTTTTCCCCCTCTGCAAATGCCTGGTGGACAGGTCTTTCCAGAATGCCCAATAAACAGCTCACTAGAATCTATTTTGTAGAATAGAGTAGAAAAAGCATAGAAAGAAATTAGGAGAGCAGAAAGAAAGAAAAGCAGGGAAGGAAGAGAGAGAAAATAGGGGTGGAGAGTGTAGTTTTTCCCCTTTTCATTTCCACCTGATCTCATGGTTTGCCCACTCTCTACATCTGTCTCTATTTGCCTTCACGTACCTAATGAAGTTGTAGATTTAGAAGAGGCATCTGTGTTAGTCTGTTACCCTAATGAAGTAGACTGTGCCAATCAATTTATTGGCCTCACAACCCGAGAAGATTCTTTTGTTGTTGCGGGCCACAGCAGCACATACTGGAGACCTCTCTGGACATAGGTTTTGACTATTCCCCTCTCCTTAAATAACTCCCAGTCTTCCCATTCCAAGATAAACGATGGACCTGAAACAACACAACGGTAGCTCGGATTACCTGCCCGTGACTTCAATGTTGGAGACAGCGTAGAAGTACTTGTACAAGTTCTCCCTCTGCACGTAGGTGCCACCGAGCGCGGGCCTCAAGAGCCTGAGCCGCAGGTCTGTCACTGTGAAGAAGTCCTTCAGGCCTTTGGCACTTTCCAGCCGTGTATAAAGATTGTCCATGTTCTTGAGCTCGGGCCCAGCAAAAATGGCAAAACGGTCCCTTACCTCGAAGCGGACATTCTTCTCTTTCTTGGACCCAACCCACCGAGAATAGTCCTCCGTGCAAATTACCCTGTTGGCACTGGTGGCGGAAAGATCTCGGACCCGCCGTGCTTGCATGCCAAAGGCTTCGTTGCAATCATCGGCGTAGTACTGATACGGGTGCCAAGTCCTCCCGTTGTCCAAGGACTTCTCCAGCATCATCATGGTGGGGCGCCCGTACTCAAACGTTACGACAATGTCATCTGTCAACTCGATGCTCTTGTTCCAAGAGAGGGTGATGTTGGCCACCAAAGGCTCCGGGTAGCGGCTCCACGTCACGCTCTGCCAGTAGGTGGCCAAGCCTTCGTCTTCCTTGTCAAACATGAGCTTCGGGGGGTGAGCTAAGTCAGGATTAGAAGCGTCGCACTCGTCGCTGCACAAGTAGGGGTTTTCCTGAAAGGAGAGGAAGAATAACAGGAGAAGAAAGGGACCACAGAGCACCAGAGTGAAAAAGGCATCAACCTGCAGTGCAAGGTTCTAGCAGACTCTGGTCCAGAGGGAGAAATCATCTCATTTCACAGTGAAGCCTCGAAGGTGCTCAAACCTGGGGCCCAATCACTCTCTTTCCTGGCCCAGTACCAACTTATGACATGCCAGTCCCAAGCAAACCTTTAAATCCCTTATCCCATAGATATAACCTCATAGTACCACACTAGGCACAGTTTGAGCTTCAGTCACACCCAGGGCAAGCTGGGTCTAACAGACATTGGCAGGCCAGGAAAAAAAAAATACAGAGAAATACTCTCTGCTTCCCTCTTGTGGCCAGATTTGATACTGCAACGCAGAAATATCCTTCAAAGACAAACGCAAACATATATAACGTATAATTAAAAACAGAACAAAACCTGAAAAATATATGTCTAATTGAATCCGAAGGATGTGAAAGAAGGTCCACAAACTCTGACACTGCCATCTCCCCATCATGGTGGCCTGGTGACCCTGGTTCCACTGAGATGCAAGGTCTGGAAGGTTCCATTGAGCTGGTCGTTATACATGGCTCCCCTGACAGTAATTTTTTAGACCACAACTCCCAGAATCCCTTGGACAGCATGGAAATGCTCATCCCAACTATGAAATTCTGGGAAGTATACTGGACTTGTTGTTCACACAGATAAATTCACAGGCCCTTGAGCCATTCAGAGTTTCTCTTTGTGAAACCCACTTGAGTTCTACAATCTCTGTCAGCAACCATGAATTTATTTTCTTCTTGTAAACTGCTATGCTTGGTCTGTTAACAAGGAGGGCAAGGTCTCTTATTCAAGTTGATCAAAGCACATCTCTCTCTCTCTCTCTCTCTTTTTGGTAGCTAACCCCCTCACAACAATATATTTTAAGTGAAATTACATTATTAATAGCTAAGCTGTGGAATATTTTATAGAAAGCAGACATCTGCTCCAAACAATAAAAGCTGCAGGAGATAGCTTAGGAAAACTCCACAGCCCTCAACCTATTCTCCTTGCCAGGAAAACAGGCAAACAACAACAGAAACCTTATTTCAACAACGGCAACAACAACACCACACGCACACACTCTCCACACCAATCACGTGTAACTGCATGTTCTCATGGGGGTAAGAAGAAAGAGCTGTGCAACTATGGGCAATAACTGTGTGGGACCAGAGAGAAGACAGATGGGCTTCAAAATGGCTCAGCTGATCCTTTTTACTGGGGCCCACTTATCTGGAGGAGTGCAGATGCTCCAACTGTTTCTGTTTATCGGGAATTATTCCCTACTCCATAGTCCCTGTGTCCTTGTTTTGCCTTTCATGAAAATAGCGTTAGGGTGTGCATGCTCGTGCACGAAAATGTCACAGGAAGAAGGCTTGCTAACGGAGCCCATGCCTTGTTTGCTAAAGGTCCAGGGCTCAATCCCAGCTTTGGCTGAAATTCTAGAGATACCCCGCCAATCAATGTCATGCATGCTAGCAAAATAACTTGTAATCTCCGACGAAAAATGGTGGCACGCTGAGAAATCCCTTCAAAGAAATGGGAACCGGTCAGCTTCCCTGCTCTGACATCTCCAGGCGCTGCCTCTGAGTGGGTGCCTGTGGGAAGAGGCCAGGCTTTGAAGCGCCAAACACCTGTTCGGCCATTAAACAAACCGGCACGAACCGCCAAGCCAGCAGGTTGATGCCCATCTCTACAAGGAGCTGACTGTAGGAGGTCCTGGCCTTGAACGGATTCCATGCCCAGACCTCAGACTGCTGCCAGCCTCCCTGTCTCCTTTTGCACTTCAGGAGTCTTAAAGACCTTGCCGCGCTCTTGAGAGCGCCTTATGCCTCCGCTTGGGTGTCCTAAGACCCTGCTGCTCTCCTCTGGCTTAAAGATTACCCGATTAGTTCATAAAGTCCCTGTTTTGCTGAGGACAACAGCAAAGTGCTTACGTGGGCTTACACAGTTTCCTTCAAATCCTGGAAGAGGATGCGGAGAAGACCGACCACATCAGCAGTTATTTACTTTTTTACGGGAACAGTGATCCTATATGTAAACATAGAAGTATGTAGATAGTTCTGTGTTTGTGTACATATGCGCATGTATATATATACACACACACATATGCAATACATTGATCAGGAAGGCGAGAATCTGCAGCTACATTTAGAGTGAGCATGACAAGCCGGGATGAGCAATGGGTGCTGCTTAGCTTCTTTACTGTCCCATCCCCCACTTCAATCCTCAAATAAATTTGTCCAGGGCAGAAACTCACACCCAGGAGACATGGGTGATGCATAAATCTCTAACCTTGCTGTCACTCACCCCCTCCCCACATCCACCACCCCCCTCCTTCTGACCTGACCTGTAGAGTCCACCAAACAGCCGAAGCTCCAAGGAGCAGATGGTCAGGAGCGCTAATGAATTAGTCTATGTATTTACCCCGTCTATTCCTGCTGTGGAACAGTCTTAATAAACAGCAGCCATAATAAATAAACTTTATGACCCATAGAAGTGCTCTGTATTTCTCTCTCACACACACACATACATACACAGAGACACACACGAAAACATGTGTATCCGGTAGGGTTCTAATATTACATTTGTAAAAGCTGCTGTTTCACTGGAATAATTTGTCATCGCTTTTAAGCAATCTAGTGTACGTATCTTTTAAAGTATCCACATATGTATATGTGCTTGCAGAGAGATTCTTCATTCTGCTGCGTCCAGTTTTTCCTATATTGCTTCCTTACGCTCAGCCAACTTCCTGAACTAATCCGAGGATTATTGAGGGGGCTAAGGGCCAGCCATACAGTGTTCCCTATCCCACATTCATTACACAAGAGTGCATTATACAGCTTTTGTGCATTATTTGGACCCATTTAATACATTGTCAACTGAGTTGTTAAACATATGCTGCTTACATCACAACTAAGCTATTAGGAAGCTTGGATTTTTATTTCATTTTTAAGTTTATTTCAACTGGAATTTATTTGCTTCAATACTCAGAGACGCTGGTACGAATAAGAATAAAAGGTTCTACATTACTTGAAGTTTTTATATAAAAACAAATCATAATATGTGGAAATGTTAACTTATGACATTACTGAGTTTAACTGGTCAGTTAGATTCATTACTGTCTATCTGACTATTGAACACCTTGTTCCAACGGTTCACTTCTGATTCCATAACAAATATACCAACAGAATGCTAACTAAACTGTGACCAGAAAAAAAGGCATGAAATACCTCTGAGGTAGAGAGCAAACAATTGGCTGCCCCCGATATACCAAATACCTAGGAAAAAGTTTATAGCAATTTTGCTAAAGGATATACTGGATAAAAATGACCAAAATACAAGCATCTATCTGTTATCTGACGTTAACAAGGCGGTAACAGAGTGGTGAGATTTGCAGTGGCTATCCAGAAGTTAAGGAAGGAGTATCTGAAGACCCATATGATTCATTGAAATGAGTTATTTTTTATTGAAATTTTATGTGCATTTTAATCTTTTTATATTCTGTTGTTAACCTAGCATTTTGGTGAATGTGCATACTTGTATTCTTACTTTTGAATCTGTTAGCACTGTGTTTGCTCAATAGGTACCTTGCTCATGTATATATTATTATTTTATGTTTTAATCTGGTGGAGGCTGAAAGACCAAAGTGGTCAAAGGACCAATAAAATACATAGTATTGGCTGCTATGGACTTGAGTGACAAGCAACCCCAGTACAGAAAGATCCCTCCCATCCAAAATCTCTTGAAGACATCATAGGAGGGTGCAATATATCTAGCAGTTTCTGATTTAATTGGCATGATTTAAAGGAACAGCCAAGGTTTAAGAGCATCCGACCATAACACAGAAGATCCCTTTCAACTGAGATATGTATATATGATGATAGATTGACTGATAGCTTTTTGCTTTCCGAGCTAAATTATGTCGTTGGGTTTGACAAAAGGACAGGATGATGTCATGAACTCAAAATAACATCTGTCAGTAATTACATTTCATGCTCCAGGGCCTAAATTGATAACCTGACACGACAATCAGGATGGAACTCCCATTGAACTGGAGATATTTGCCGACAATTAATTTTCGCTCCATTTACAAGTTTAGGGAGAGGGTGCCGCCATAATTAATTTAGAGTGATTACTGCTAATAGCTGGTAAGCGGTAAAACATGAGCACAGAGGCTATCAAACACCAAGGAGAAGGGGGGGGAGAGAGAGATCACTATACTAAATATATACTTCCTCCTTTCATGTTATTGAATGGCTCAATGGCTTATGTATCTGGTCACCAAGCCAGAGGTTGGGAGTTTGATTCCCCACTATGTCTTCTGTCAGCCTGTGTGGTCTTGGTCAAACTGCACATCCCCAAGATATCCCCAGAAGAAGGGAAGGGTCAACCACTACTGAGTATTTTTTTTAACTTAGAAAACCCTGAAAAGGGTCGCCATAAGTCAGAATTGACTTGACAAGTCATTATTATTATTATTATTAATGCTTTAAAAAGGTCAAGAAAGAAAGGGGGAGATCTCCACACTGCTTTCTTCATCAACCCCACAAATAACGTACCAAATCCATGATAAGCGATGTGGACGTTTACATATTCTCTTCAGAAGTACACACAATTGAGTTGGCTGATGACAGGAAAGAAGAGACCAGTGGCTTTACTTGCAATGGCACATTAAGTGACCAACACAACAAAGGTCATCCAAGATATGAAGGGTTATTAATCACACTCCCAAATTGTCTGCTTCCTCAGGGCACTCCTGAGATCTGTAGCAGAGCACACCATTTAAAAGACCTGGAAAATTCCTTGGCATCTCTTTAAAGCTGCAATGGACTCTTTTTTTGGTAGGAAAGTGGTAATGTTGATATTATTTAAAAACATCCTTCCAGCCATCCACAAATATGAAAACCCTATTGAGCCATTTCTCTGAAGGCATGGAACAGGGTG